ATTGTTGCATTTTCACACATAACCTCTATGGTCCAACCACGTTTATTTCTGCATGAGATATAAATACGCACACATAACTGTAAAGGCCTGAAGACGAAGTTACGAAAACAAGCTTGTTCGCCATACTGTTTTGCTTTTGATATTTATATAGGAATCTTCCGTGAAATGCATAGTACTTAAAGATGACCATTTATTACAGCGCTTAAAGAACGTTCTCAACCCAGAGCATCGTATAGCGAATTGCTAAGAAGCATTACACGAATATAACTTTGTCGTCATCATCCGGGCAATCAGCATGCGAACGCGAATGATTTCTCCAGAAGATCAGTTCGTAAACACGGGATAGCCCCTCTGGTCAAGAACAGTGCCTAACGGTGGCGAGCCTAGAAGGAACAGAGTAAGAACTTTGGGTATACATTTGGTCCAAAGATCCAGAAACGGCAATAATCTACCAGAGGATAAAGGTAAAGGGGACGGGACAAGATGGGGAAAATAGACGAAGCCAGCTAGGAAAGCAATTGTCTATGGTCGTTTTGGTGTTCTGTACTGATGAGAGAGAACGCGGTAAACGTTCACTATGAGGTAAGTTATACAAGTCGGATTATTGCCCCTCGGTCCATGGTGAAATAAGTCTTGAAGGACCCACACCAACAACTGGGCCACGAGAGAACGAACAGACTTGAGTCTGCAGCCTAGCAAATATTTTGGTGACCACACATGCGGAAAGGTGACGGGGATTTGTGCGCTTCGTGCAAACGTCGTGGTAGTTTTAAAACTCCGATTTGTGGATTTCCGGGCCCCGCTACAGATGATGGCCGTGATATATTCCAACTAATAGTCGACACCAAACCAGTTACTTTCTGTTAGAGGGGCGAACTTTAAAAGCGCCTTATTGCACGAGTTATGCAGACCATTGAGATTCGATAAACCACGAACTACCGAGTATCACCCTGAAGAAAATGGATTTGTGGAGAGAACCAATAAATTGCTCTAGGCATTGTTTAAGACGCGTAGGGATAGGAATGTTTGTATAGGGACAATCCACTCAGCAAATGTATGTTAGCCTATCGCAGCTCAGTTTACGCTTCCATGGAATACACTCCCCACTTCCTGTTTACTGGCAGAGAAGTCCGACTTCCATCGGATACATTACTACCATCGGCAACACAACCACACCCCATGGTGGCTCTCTGACACACTCCATAGAGCCCAACAGATTGCGCGAACTCAATTAGAGACCACTGACAGACAACATAACGTACATTATGACAGTTGGTCCCTCGGGACGCCTTATCCGATTCGGGCAGATGGTGTGGCTACACGTAAGCAAGACAAAATGTCTGAGTGCATGAAAACTACACAAACAATGTTGTGGTACATATTAGAGTACTATTCGAAGTCACATGCGTAATTCAGGCTGTGAATCAATTTAACATCCAGTCGATTGTAGTGCATTTCAAATCGCTGAAACCATGTATCCAGCAGGAGGAATGTAACGACCCGATGTTGTCTTAGAGCTAAAAGTACCAGCTTAAGGTGGGATAGTAGTGGCACCGGGGACGATGCTGATGCACTACCAGTCTTTCCCCCTGACTTTCTGTTATATTACTTTACTTGAACCCGTTATCCTTAGCACTGAGAGCAGAGTTTGACTGTTAACATCTCTCTACGTTTGCTAGCCATAGTTTCTCACGGTCATTCCTGAGGCTCTTTACGAGTTGGCATTTGGGGGATTTAAGGGGTCTGTCAAATTCGTCTTTTACGGGAATGGTTCTGCGGTTCGTCCGGCAGAGCAGCTGAGGATATGACATTTCATTATTTGCATTTATTTGTGCATCAGAAACAGCCGTTTTCTTGGCTTAGATTTCTGAAGCTTCTTTTATTTATATCCAATTTTCATGGAGTCAGGTAATTATTTAATATTACTGCAATAAATTGGATATCACTGATGAATAGATCGCTGCCACTTTTGTAGATAACATTTATTCCCTTTAGATCCAAAACGGTTGAATAGTTCGACCATCTTTTGCAGAAGAGAAAAATCAAGGGAGATTCAAAATTTTTACAGTAATTGTAAGGGTCGTCCCTGATTTTTACCTCACAAACATCTATCATTGCTTAAGTGCATCAAGGCAACTATATGAAATGCGAAAATCATTATCACAGCTATATAAATGAATCTTAAGACGCAGCCACCTGCTCTTAAGTGACTATCACTGGCTCAATGTAGGTAATGCTGTAGTTACATCTTACAGGATAAGATTAACATATCTTATTTCAGTATGGCGCTTCTTTTGAATAATTAGCTACATGCAGGATCTCTGGATAATTGCCAACGGATTAAAATTCAGTAAAATTGAGTTATTTATCCAAGTTTATATTTTCCAGTTCCGAGAGCATAGTGCACATTTTTGATAGCTAGAGCATATACAAGTCTCACCAAGCGCTCCAAAAAGCGAAAGTGTGCAACAGTAGTCAGGTGCTGGTAAGAGAATTGGACTTTGGCTTGCATCTCACGCAGGGTTTTAGATGTCATGAGTTTATATTCAAAAATAGTTCCGGTGTAAACTATTTGTTTGCATCTGGTATCGAAGATCAGAGCATCGCAAGCTGCAAGAAGATTCAGCATAGTTTTGAAGATCTGGTGAAGCAAAAAAGAACATCATTATAAACCTTGGACATCATAGGAATAATGTTAAAAATCCTAATACGTACTCCGGGAAGGGTACTTAAACCGCTGGGACTAACTAGATATAATCAGAGGAAACTAGTATGCTTTTTGTGCATGAGTGCGAAAGTGACAGTTTAAGATCTTCAACCGAGGTTTAATAGGACGACAAAAACTCTAGAAAACGGTAATGCCGAAATATGAGTTTTTGGTGACATTAGAAACACGAAAAAACACTAAGGGATGGATGTTAACGTGTGATAGGGAACACTGCTATTATTTAAATCATTTGATTTGAGTTCAAAACTATATCTTGAAGAAGTTTGAAATTTAAGAGAGCTACGCAGTAACGATAACCAAACAGAACATCATCAGTGATGCGTAGCCTACGAAGGAAAGTACCTCGATTTTCCCATTAACTTGACGTTGGCGTCTACTACTCAAATCATTCCATCAAGTAAAAGAATGCACAAGAATATCTATCAATTTTCTGTAACGTCTACGGCCACATTGGCCAACAAACTCCGTAAACATTCTTTCCAACAGACATGTATGACCATTTCGGATTCTAAACGACATCCGTGAATAGTAGCTTGCACGTGAGCAAACGCTTTGTGCAACGTAGATAGTTTCTTTCGTATGCAAAAATTGAGGTCACTCACCACAAGTTTATATAAATATAGTGGAGCGCCAGTTGTTTCTCAACTAGAGAACATAAAGAATTGTTGGCTTACGAAATACACAAAGACAAAGGGACTGAAAGAAAAAGTATTGTGGCATTCATTTACAGGATGATTTTTCAACTTTTTATAATTATCGGAATTTTTGGTCGATGTGAGTTCCTTTCAGAACTACTTTATTCGCCTAGTCGTCAACGGTTTAAAACATATCTTTACACATTAACATTGCATAATTGCACTTTCGGTGAACGTTGTGGGTTTATGCGTACATTGGATGTCCATTGGCGTAGCTAATCGATACCTAATGAGTTGAACTTTTTCTGTCTTCACCGAAATTCAGTCAGTTATTGTTTTTCGTTTTAGACTGTGCAAATACAGACATTATTAACGCTCTTGGTAAGTTATTTAGTAGTAAAGTGATAAAACTCACGGGAATCGTTTCTTGCTACCTAACGATTTGACGCTATGTGACTGAGCAACCGTAGACCGTCTTTCTGCCTTCTTGTTTTATTGAGTTAGCAGTATATCCTAGTGATCATGGGTTTGACGTTATATGATCGCAACATGGTGGGGTTTGGTAGGAAATTCTTTTGTTCCATTATGGAATATCCACCATACTTCTCTTTGCCCAATTTAAGGTAGAGTTTTCTTCGAGGTATCAACTGTTGATGAATTTATTTCGTCATTTGTCTATATCTTCGGCATATTTCAATGGCACACCAGTTTTCACCCTTCCGTACCCCAGAGCATCCGTGTCGAGCACATATGCTGCATAATAACATCTAATGTTGACATAAATGTAAATTTATAGTCATGAATTTTTAAAGGAATTTCATAACGTTAGATAAACTGAGATAAACATTAGAAGTTTATCTAAAACGGTGACAGTATGGTAGAGGTACATTCCAAATAAATGGGATACTAGTAATATGGAGAGCAATTTGTTCTTTAATGGAAAGGGTGAAAACTGGAGGTGTTTACGGTGACGGATAAGTTTCTTTAATTTTTTTAACACAAACGTTTAAAGCAAATTGCAAGGTTTGTACAAATCCACACTACCGGTTATGATCATGCCTTCGTCAGGATATTCTAACGATGCCCTCGGCTTTTTGCTGTGCATACTGTGAATTCGCAAACGGTATATCAAGTTTTGCAGGATTACGTTGCTTATGTTTTATGTAATGATAAACTCACTATTATAAGAAATACGGCAGTTATTATCGTGTTTTACGTGGGGAGTCGACGTAATAATTACCAAATGTTCATGTGAGCTTATTTTTAAATAAAGAATTGAGACTGTTTGGGAAAGCTTTTCACAGAAGGCTGGATAAAAAGTGTCTTGTTTCTCCAAACTACACTAAATCCACCTTGAGATAGTATGTGACAAATGAGTAGAGGTAGAGTATTTTACACAACAAAGGTTTTACGAACAGGCCGAAATAGGCATCTAATGTACCGTCGTGTAGATTGTAACATGATTAGAACAATTTTGTTGGCACTTAAATCAGATGTTTTTATGATCCTTTTTACAGAAAATTCCATGCAGTGTGCATGACGTTTTGACCTATTTGTGTAGCCAACAAATCATTCTGGTGCTGACGGGTCAAAAATGGGTTACAAATTCTTTTGATATATGGGAGCGGAAACCAAGGCAATGCTTATTATTGAGATGTGTCCCAAATGCTTAGTAACCATAAACATGTGTTCGCGAAGCAAATTAAATGTATTTTTCTACAGTACCATCTGTTTGATTTAAACTTTTCAGTTTATGAAATGAAAGTTAAAACTCCATCTGATGAGCTGAATAAAACAACATCTGATGAACCAGAACTGTATTTCGGAATGGATCCGGCATGCGACCAGGTAAATTCGCCCTTTTATCATGCCGTGTTAAACGGCAACCGTAACAATAATAAACATGGACACATTTCTCTTACATTAATTCTTTGTTACTTGTTTACCGCCGAAGCTGATAGCGTTTCGTTAGTAAATGTCACCTTTTGCTGCCGATTCAGTTAACCATTGCCAGCAAAGAAAAAACTCCCCTGGAAGCAAAGATGCTTGGATGTAAAAGCGAAATCCTCGAGGACAAAACCACCAATATGAAAATATTCTTCGATGCCAAATCACTGGTGGCTGATAACAAATGTAAAATAGATAAATTGAATTTGTTTTTGGAGGAATGGAAAACGGTAGTGGCTGGCTACTTAAAGGTCAACTCTGATCAAATTGATTTAAAACGTGAGTTTTTTTACAATTTGTTGCAGAAACGTAAACGTTTGTCTTTTCTCGAGTTCAACGTGGTCAGTTTCGTGATAATAAATGGACGCAAAACCTCGCGGTTGTATTGTTGGCCTTATTCTTTAATGATGTCTGTTGTGACAACAATGAACTAGTGTTGACCATTTCAGAGTTCACACCAGTATCAGGCATTTCCTCTGTTCGAGAAAGTTGTGTGCCTGGGAATCCTGAAAATCCTATTCTGTGGAAGAAGACAGCTAGGACAAG